TTTGATATCAGTATGACTCCTACTTGTAGGGGGCGTCACCTACATATTTTCTAACTGATTTGAAGAGTTAATAACTTTTCGTCCAGGCCTGTATAATACTACTGACTAAAAAATATACATTTACAACGTTTTTTTTTACGTAAAAAAGGTATCTTGGTAAAAACCGCTACGAGTAATGGTTTCGAGATATTTGGAATCTAAATTATCAATACCTGTCATCATTGACATAAATTAAATGTGTTGACTAAATAGTGATTAGACTGATATAAATTTGAAATGTTTTTTTTGCCAAAAGTTCAATAGAAACTATATTTAATTTATCATTTCAGTCCATTACTATCTATATACTCAACATGTTTATTTTTTGTCAATAATGACATGTATTGACTATTTTCATTTTAAATATCTTGAGAACGGTTGCTCCTAGCGATTTTTACCAAGATACATATTTGGCGTAAAAAATCACAGAAAAGTATATTTTTTCACTCAGTAGTTTTCTACGGGTACGGACGAAAAATTATTTTTCTTCAAAACAGTTAAAACACATATACGTAGTCCCCTATAAATAGAAGACATTGACATCAAAATCAAATTTCTCATGTCAAAAACTCCCAGACACCAATTTTTATCCAAATATTGACGTTACATCAGAAATTATTTGGAAAAAATCAAAGTAAAAATGAAATTTCTACACCCTGTATTTCCGAAACTAAGCCTAATAGGACATGACTTTATATGGACGTTTTTTACTTATTTTTAACTGCAGAATATGCTGCCGAAGTTTCCGAAATACAGTTCAGACCACTCCGTATAAATAATATACATGTAAATATGATATAGAAAAGGAGGTACACCATTTTTATCAACATTTCTGTATGGTTGTTGTCGAGAACACACACCTAAGAATTAATGTCTCTTGTTTCATTTTTTTTTTTCAAGAAATAACTGGGTAGAAACTTAATTTAAAAGCAGGATAGGTGAATTAATTAAACTTTAGTCGAATAATTAGTTTAATCACATTAAAAACTACAATTTAATTACAGAATTATCAAAAATAAATTATTCATCTTAAACATCATACATGTAACAATGAAATTTTAGTTTACAAAACAGCCAAAATAATTTTTATATTACATCTGTTTGAAACGAAATAAAATGGCTTTTGCCAATAAGTCAGAACTTGATAATAATTATTTAACAAAATAATTACGTTAATCAACGAAGGTTTTATTGTTGTAATACACTCAGATGCAAAAAAACGCAATGGAAAAATATTTGGTCAAATGTAAAGTGTAAAATGGTTAAAATTTTTGTTATTTTTAGCTCTATTTTCATAGTTATTTTTATAGCAAGCTGTATATATAATTATATCAACTTTAATTCGTGAAACCCGGTTTTTTAAAAACTTTAGTATTTCGCTTATTATACAGGGTTAAACGAGGGGTTGTTTTTATCTTAAATTTAAAACACCCTGTGCAATAATTTCCTGTGTAAATATTCCTAAAATATAATTTTACGGTCAGAACCATAGGTTTGTCCTCACAGCCTGTTCCCAACATGTTTGTGACTTCTTCCAAACCGGTGTTAATGCGCAGGTCTCAAATAATGCAGTTTTTTATCGATTTCAAATTGTCTGTGCGAACAGCGAATCCCCTACTCTTCTTTTTTGATCTATTAATACCACTAATTTTAACTCCTACGTAATACCGAATAAAGAAGAAAACGAACAGGGAATTAACCAAAGACATCTTTTAATGTTTTTGGTTTTTTTTTTAATGATTTGTAATTTTGATTCTTGGGCCTGACCTGGCCTGACCCGTTCCTCCATCAGCTCTTCTAGGTCTGTGTCTGTATCCGAAAATCCGGACGCCTCAGATTCTTCGGAAGATTCAAAATCGCTCATTTCTTTTCTTTATTTTTGAAGAAAAAAACACTAAACAAAAACAACACACGTTTTGTATGTTAAGTTTACCAATATTAATGACGTCGGGTCGCAATACGCATGCGCCGGACACTTTACTTGCAAAAGATCCGCGAACAGGTCTGACTGTCAGCTAACAATCAGAATTTCCTGTGCGAACAGCGTACTGTTGGTTGGAAACCATGCAATCAAAAATTTCTGTGCGAACACGTTTTACCCTATTGCGCATGATTAGCTGCTGGAAATATGTTTCTTACAGCGCAGCTGTGAGAACAAACCTCATGTCTCCTGAGAATTTTGTTTTTTGGATCATGTCAATACATGCCTTGGTTAATTTGTAAGAACGAAATGAACTCGCCGCCAACAATTTACAATTTTTTCAATTATCATTTCTTTTTGAAGTTATTTTTCAATATGAAAAGGCGGCTTTGGTGATTATTGTGAACTATATACTACTCTTAACTGCCCATCATATACATCCATCATCAATGCAAGAAGTTTAGAGATCGCGAAGCGGTACAAGCTTCATTAAACGAACTTCGCTTGGTTATTAAAGAAGAATGGGAAAGCATAACGTAATATCATATGCAGCCTCAATGACACTATGAACGGACGTATACAAGCAGTTGTAGCATTTAGGGTATTTTTACAATTTTCTTTTCTGTTTGTATACTTGAGTATTACAGATGTTTCTTTAATAGAGAACAACGGCATACGGTCGAGTCGGCCTACAAACACGTAAACGTTTACGTACGCATGCGCATTTCTGATATTTCTTATTTTTTACACACGTAAAAGATTCTTTACGTCTACGTATACGTGTCAGCAGCGGCCGACTCGACCGTATGCCGTTGTTCTCTAATATCGTTAGTTCTGTTATCGTTATGAATCTTTATTAAAATTAGGACTGTATCGTTAGTCTTTAACGTTTTTTGTTTGATTTTGTATATTGTATCCAATGCAGCGTAATGTGACGTTACGACAATGGTCACCAAAACCATCTCGTCATATTAAAACATTACATCAAAAAGTAATGATAATTGAAAAAATGGCAAATTGATCGTGATCAGTTCATTTCACTCTTATAAATTAACCAAAGCATGTGTTGATATGAATCAAAAAACAAAATGCTTAGGAGTCTTGGTTCTGGCCGTAAAATTAGATTTTAAGAAAATTTACACACGAAATGATTGCACAGGGTGTTAAACTGAGGATAAAAAAAACAACCCCTCGATTAACCCTGTATAATATGCCAAATATCAAAGTTTATAAAAAACTTAGTTTACGAATTAAAGTTGCTCAATTATACAGGGTTGTTCACCACATACGACACGGAGTATTGTAGCTAAACGATGAGATTTTTACAAATAGTAAGTTTTGGGTTCGTAGAAGGACTATTAGAGGTACAATTTAAAAATAATTTTACAAGATACAGAGTGTCCCAAATAAGTAAAAAATATCAAAGTTGTGTTTTTTTAAATGGAACACTCTGTATATTATTACATTTTTAGTTTACGATTAAAATAAAGGTAAATTTGATTAAGGTTTATTACAGTTAAACCTTACCGTTTTTGAAATATTTTCAATTTTGTGAAATTGCAGCAAACATTTTAAGGCTTCATTTCTCCAAAGGTATCAAAGTTTTTAATACTAAATATTTACTGAAGTTTATTTATTGATCAGTTAGTGCGTTGCAATAATAAAAATAGTACTACCTTATACAGAGTGTCTAAAAATGTATTTTAAATAATTATTAGCTTTAAACCGCAATAATTTGTTTAATTTAAAAAGAACACCCTGTATATTTTATGACAATCAAAGGCACAATTTAATTGTCCATCAAATTGTATAATACCATTTTTCCCTATCCCTTCAAGTTTTCGTAGAAAATGCATTTTCTTGTAATTTAGAACTATTTATCAATATACCCATGGAATATTGACATTTTAGATTATTTTTAAAGATGTACCAAATTTTTAAAGAGTACAGATACTAATATTGTCGATATAATTCGTTTATTTCATTAAAAAATAAAAAAAAACTGTTTAAATATTTGTTAAAGAGGACCAATTAATATGATTCCAGTATTCAAACTACATTAACTGACTGTTTGCGTTGATTAATAATAATTGCCCCAAATACTAAAAAGCAGTGTGGTTAAAAGTAACACCTTAAAAATGATATTTCATTTTTTAATAACTGCTTATTTATAACAACAGAGACATTCATTTTGATAACTTATTATTATATTGATTTCTGACTCAAATCCACATTTATTTAGAATAATTTATTAACGGACACAATTAAGTATGTAATTAATTAGTATATGGGTGGAAATAATTTAAATAGTTTTCTTTTGCATACAAATGGGCTAGTAATATTATCGTTTTGCTAAAATGATAATATTACTAACCTATTAACTTGTACATTTGTTGCTTTAAAAACAATCTAAAATGTCAATATTCCATGGGTATATTGATAAATGAGATCTAAATTATAAGAAAATGCATTTTCTTCGAAAACTTGAAGGATAGGTAAAAAATGGTATAATACAATTTGATAGACAATTATATTGTGCATCTGATACTCTAAAATATATAGGGCGTTTCATTTAAATTAAAGAAGTTATTGGCGTTTAAAAAGCTAGACATTATTTAAAATAAATTTTTAGACACTCTGTATAGGTAGTAGTATTTTTTATTATTGTAACAGAATAACTGATCAATAAAATAAACTTCAGTAAATATTTTCAGAATAAAAACTTTGATACCTTAGAGAAATGAAGCCTTAAAACACACTGCAATTTCACAAAATTGAAAAAATAAGTATAATAAACCTTAATCAAATTTACCTTTATTTTAATCGTAGAAACTAAAAATGTAATAATATACAGGGTGTTCCATTTAAAAAAATACAACTTTGATATTTCTTACTTATTTGGGACACTCTGTATCTAGTAAAATTATTTTTAAGTTGTAGCTCTAATAGTCCTTCATCGAACCCAAAACTTACAATTTGTAAAAATACAATCGTTTAGCTACAATACTCCGTGTCGTATGTGGTGAACAACCCGGTATACAGTTTGCAAAAAAAACATGAAAATAGGGCTAAAAATAACAAAAATACACACACTTTCAATTTGACCGAAATTTTCACCGTTGCGTTTTTTTTGCATCTGAGTGAAGAAAATTTCTTGCTCTTCTAATCGGAAATACTTGGTGAGAGAGACGAATTTGAAGACTGTGAATCAGAACTCCGTTTCTTATTGGAAGACTTTCGAGAAGATCTCATTTTCGTTTTAAACATCACGTTATCGATTTTGTTCATACAAATATCCCTGGATCGTTCGTCCATTAGTTCCAATTTAGCAGCAATTAATTCTCCATAGAGAGCACACATTTTCTTGACTTTGGAATGGTCGTGTACGGAATTCGTTGCGTACTGAGGCTTTATTGACTGAATATTGTTTGTTTCACTCTTTATTCCATCTGGTTTACTTAATCTTGGACGCTTACGTGAGCTAGATTGGGGCATAAACTCATTTTCCAAAGGCGAGGGTTGTGCAACTGGTTGTGCGACTAGAATTTAAGTAGAAATTATTAAGATATTTGAAGTGGATTATTTCAACAAATACCTTCGCTTCTTAAATCGTCTTCAAAATGGACGTACTCGGCTTTGACAGAAATGGTGTCCGATTCATCTTCGATTTCAAAATTAGAGTAACCTTCATCAAGTAGGATTTCCTAAAGAAAAGAAACATAAGAAATACTAATCAATAGATAGGTATGCGTAATGCGTAATAACATCTCTGGTTTTGCCATTTACGCGTGGACTACTCTGGTTTTTCCCTTGTACGGCAAAATAACCAAGCTAAGTAATATCTCTGGGACTAAACTATTATTGCTTTCTTTTTTCTCGAATGACGCTAACATTTGCCTATAAAGTTGTATCGCTATCTTAAATTCTATAAAAATGTGACATATCTGGTTTTTCCCGTGTATATAGTCTTCATTTGTCCACTCCATTTATTGCTAAAGGACCGATTTAGGTATGTCACCAATATTGAAGTTATTAATGTAAATTTGATATTATACCGGGTGCGTCTCAAAAGTGACTCACCCCTACAACTTTCTTATTTGTTCAGTTAAAAAAACGAGATTTGGTATTTAGTATATGACATAAATTAGGATTGATTGACGTATTCAATTGTTTTCGGTCACTTCCTGTTTCACCGGAAATGACTAAAACTTTTGATTTTTAAATGGCACCCTCGGTATTTTTTTACTTTATTCGATAGAAAATAACACTCTGAATAGAATGAACTTTTGGCATATTCGCATATGGTTTATTTGAAATTATAATTTTTGGCTCGTAACGAAAATTTGACTCGAAATACCAAGTGTGTGGTATCAAGTTATTCGAAAAAAATGCTTTTTCCAAATATGCCAATGAGCCACCCTCGTTCCGAGATACGATTAAAAATACGATTTGGTCATATTCTAACTGGCTAGGACAAGACACTAAAAATATTAGACAATCAAATCTATTTTTCTAAGGCTCCATCATTAAGAATTACTGTTTTTAACATAGCCACGGCACTCTAGATTGAAATTTAAAATACAATTTTTTATTATCAAAATCAAATCAAATCAAATCATTTATTGCATGTTAATAGATACAAGTATCCTTACACAAAGTCATATTTTGTAAAATGCAAAATTATAAAATAAGCACAATAATTATCTAACAGTAATTTAAAGTACACAAAAAAACAGTACATACACAATGTAAATGTTTTAACCTATAACCACGCTATAACCCTTCACTGCTTTCTAAAAAATCAGTAACACTAAAATAAGCCATATCAAGGAGGTAGCTTTTAATTGTCGTTTTAAATTGATGTCTTGGTAAATTTTTGACATTTTGAGATAATTTATTAAAGCATGCAGGAGCATAATGAAGGCTGGAGTTACAAGATCTTCCGAGACGCAAATGAACAGGCTTTATATTCATTCAGTTTCTGGTTGCATAATTGTGTTGTTCATCATGCGTAGTATATAGTTCTAGGTTATCCTTCACAAATAAAAGACACTGGAGGATATAGCAACATGGAAGTGTCAGTATTCCCAGTCTTTTGTAGGCGTTTTTTGTATCTGCTTGATAACTTAAATTTGACAAAATTCTCAATGCTTTTCTTTGCAGTGAAAACAGTCTGTCAGCATGAGCTGAGTGACCAAAAACAAGTATTCCATAAGTAAGCACCGAGTGAATGAGAGCATGATAGGCAGCTACTAACACATCACTCTCCACACACTTAGCCAATCGCCGAAATGCATACATGCCTATGGAAACCTTCCCTGCCACATAGTCTACGTGACTTTCAAAACTCAGTTTTGTGTCAAATTTTATTCCCAGAAATCGGACACTGCAGAAATCTACTTTATATTTTGTTTTATGAGAAAAAATAACTCTTTCTGTTTTAGTGTCATTGAGGTATAATCGGTTTGCCTGAAACCAGTCACCAACATTTAGCAAAATCGATTCAAAATTAGTTTGAATTTCTTCAGGGGATTTCCGAGCACATAAGATAGTAGTGTCATAGGCAAACAAAATCAAATTATTCTGAAGTGTAGCCACGGGTAAATCATTAATGTAAATTAAAAACAATAAAGGTCCTAATACTGAGCCTTGCGGAACCCCATATTTTACAACACTCACATCAGAGAGCGTACCGTTGGCTAATGTTTGTTCAGATCGGTTTACAAGATAATCAGCCATACTATATAATTAAGCGAGAATGTCAAAAATTGACATATATCATTCTATTCAGAATGTGATTTTCTATTGAACAAAGTAAAAAAATATCGAGGGTGCCATTTAAAAATCAAAAGTTGTAGTCATTTCCGGTGAAACAGGAAGTGACCAAACATAATTGAATACGTCAATGAATTCTAATTTATGTCATAATATACTAAGATACCAAATGTCGTTTTTCTATCTGAAAAAATAAAAAAGTAATAGGGTTCAGCCACTTTTGAGACGCACCCGGTATAATATTTATATATTATATTATTTATATTTTTATTGTATTTTATTGTTTTAATGTTTTAAATTATCCGCAATTAACTCGAAAAACACTACGATCCGGAAATAAACGCTATAACAGTATAATTATTATTTGCGCAGTCATTTGAGCCAGTGTACGAATAATAATTGTGATCCTTTGACTGGGGCTATGTTTATCGACAGAGAGTGGGAACGGGACGAGTGACAAATAATTGCACAAGGAAACCGTTTCCACGACAAATGCGAGTATATTCCAATAACAAATATTTGTCAAGTACACGGGCCGTGAGAATGCGCCTTTAGACTGTATGATGAGTTACCACTCAAGAAAAAGAAACATAATTGATCTATAACGTCGCGGTGATTAACTTTTCCTCTCCCATACATTCTACATCTACATCTACTCACCTCTATGTTCCTTGTTTGTTCTGGATTTTTCTTAAAAAGAAAACTGGCTAGTTTATCGTATGCAAACCACTGTGGTTTGTATTCGTTGCCGGTTCCAGCGCTTTGTTTCACCTTGTTCAGGCAGGTTCGGAACGATGCCATCAGCGACTCCCTCTTTTTCTTCAGCTCGGTAACGGAAAACTTCTCGTCCATATTGAGTTCTATCCGTTTCCACGCGTCGTAGACATCGTTACGGTTTTTGTGGCCCGGCGTATTGGCGTCCCAGATAACAGGTTCATTCTGGTAGAGATCCAGAAACTCTAGTATCATTTCGTTGGTCCAGGACATATCTGAAACATAGATGAATTAATCAGGGTGGTTTCGAAGATCAATAAAAAAACTAAACCTGCAACCAGGCACTCGAAATAAATAGTAAATACGCAATAACAATACAATTTATTTGTGCTGTTTTTTCAACGCCTTGATAAGTATAGACAAGTGTACACTTGCAAGTGTACCAATAATTGTGATCTCTTTGCCTCGGACTATTCCGACAATGAATGAAAATGCGACAAGTGACAAATGATTGGACAAGTAAACCACTCACAGAACATGGCAAGTACATGTAAAGAACAAATGTTTGCCAAATACACGAATCGTTTGAGCCTGGATCAAACGACTCATGTACTTGGCAAACAGTTGATACTGGCATATACTTGCCATCTGGTGTGAGTGTTTTACTTGTGCAATTATTTGCCACTCGTCGCGTCGTGTGAGCCCTAAGCTTGCCAGTGTTGTTTACAAAATGGTATACTTGCCAAGTACACGAGTTGCTCGAAACTGTGGTACTCGATTATTGAAATTCATCGATGTTCCCATCACTGGATATAGTACCAGTTATGATGATCGGCGCGCAGAGGTTCGGAAATAGGGATAGGTATATCCAGTATTTTAAAAGAGTCTAATCCGGAGTTACATCAAGCTTCATGGACCTGCATCCAGGTTCTAGTTCTGCCGGATCTATATCATTCTAACCTTTAATTTTAATTTATCTAAAGTTTATTTTGCATGAAGCAATTCGCGTTTAAAAGTTTTGTAGTCTGTTAGGGAAATCTGATATTTGCATTTTGTCAAATCCTTTTATCACTTGATATTAACTGTTCTATTTATTTAGAAGAGGTTCAAATTTATGACTATGAGGCAAAGAATTACGAACTTTACATAAGATAAATAATAAAAGATAGTCGAGACTGCTGCATAGGGATTACTTCATGCTAGAAGCAAAATGATCGGCATTTAACAGATAATATATTTATGAAATAGAATGGCATTTTTTACAAAAAAAATAAAACTAAATTTGAACGTAGTCTTCGTCTGCTGATTGATTTGACGAATCCTGTACGATCATAACATTCTATATAGTTTCTTGAATTTACCAACACAAATTTCAAATAATACAAAATAATTTCGAACAAATAAAATACTTTATTGCCGACAAAATGATATTTCCGATCACAAAGCAACCTCACAGAAAAATACTATTACAGGGTATAATATCCTAGATCATAAATATAGTAATAATTACACAAATATAACAATAATAAAAATTCAACAAATATTCAAACAAAGGACATAATTAATAATAATTCAAAGCTAAAACTATCATACCGACCCCCTAAATTGGTAATCGCTACCTAGAGCTCTAATATTCACGGACAGCATTTCAAAGGTCTTGAGCGCCCTGTATCTTCGAAAAAAAGGATGAGTTATGCAGAGGAATGCTCAAACCATCCCTTCCCTTGGTAATCTGTTCCTTATCTGAAACATGGTGGCTAGAGTTCGTGGCAAAAAGGGCGGTATGTTTCTTAAGGAACGTCACCCATGCAGGGACAGAAAACATAAAGAGGGCACAGTTAGGATATTATTGTAAAATATGGCCTGCAAGATGTCCTCGGATGCTAGCTGAAGCTGAAGATCTGCTGTGCTAGGGCCGAATATTCCCAAAACATAACACATAATTAAGGATTGTGAAGTGGCGATGTAAAGAGGTCGAATCTCAGTAGAGATTCGACCTCTTTACATCGCCACTTCACAATAGGTAGTAACCAGAAATCACCAGAAGAATTAAATTAGCATAGAAGAAACTCAATCATATTCAAATCTAAAATGCCACTTAATCTAAAGGAGAAAACATCCGACCAATGTGTACTATTAGTGATGTACTATGCATGCGAAACCTGGACACTTAAAACAAAGATCATAATGAAACTGCAGGTCGCACAACGATCAATGGAACGAAATATGCTGTAATAAGCAAGAGAGACCGTAAAATAATAGAATGGATACAACAAAACACCCAGCTAATAGATGTCATCAACAGAGTCAAATCCGTCAAGTGACAATGGGCAGGACACCTGGCAAGAAGGACGGACAACAGGTGGACCACAAAAATTACAGCGTGGTACCCACGAGGATTTAAGAGACCTAGAGGAAAACCAAACCTGAGATGGGACCACGATATTAGGAAATTAGCAGGGATAACTTGGGTCCGCATAGCCAACATTGGGCCCAACTATAAAGAGAGTACCTAAACATGTGAGGGAGGCTAAACCATAATTAGAAATGGTTGAATAAGCTGAAAATGATGATGAAATAATGTTTCATTAAAATTAACAAATAAATTCTACTCGTTTGAGATTATTATGTATATTATTTTCAATATAACTGATAAAAATTGGAGAGTATAATATACTTACTCGAACACCGGCTTCCAACAAACCGAATATAGAAACCAAGGTCGATAGAAACAAGCGGCGCGACTGCGTATCGGACAAATGTTTGCGTTGGCGAGACAAACGACACCAGCCTCACCCGAACTGCAACGAACACTGAGGATGAGAGACGCGAAACGTGCGGGCGGGCTCGCTAAAACGCAAACAACCCGTCGACTCCCCACTTCTCGAAGCTTGCCGAGCGAGCAGCCAGTCTCGCTCGATAATCGTTGAATAGCAACGGCTGGCGCAACTAGCGTCGGCTTTAGCGAAGGATGCAGCGCGGCGTGCCGTTCACCCAACGGAGAGTATAAATAATAATCTTCGTTTCTTTGCAGAAGTCAAGCCTTTGCTTTTGAGTCAACATTTATTTAAATACATTTTTGTCTTGTTATATTTTGCACAAACATTCTTAAGTCTTCTCTATGTAACTCTCTTAACTATGTAAAAAAAGACAGATGAGGGTTATACCAATCCATCTTGTTTACTAAAAAAAGACAGTGTGTGCATTATATGCGCATATTTGAAGTGAAACTTCTTACTAACAGCTACTAAATTGAAAGATTTGAAGGACATGTTTGAAAAAGTGACATATAATTTTGGTCAAATTTAAACTCTTATATTTTTGTTATTTTTAGCCCTATTTTCATGATTTTTTTTAGCAAGCTGTATATAATTATATCAACTTTGTAAACTCAGTTTTTTATAAACTTTAGTATTTGGCATGTTATACAGGGTTAATCGAGGAGTTGTTTTTACCCTAACTTTGACACACTCTGTGCAATAATTTCGTGTGTACATTTTCCTGAAATATAATTTTAGGGTCAGAACCATGTCTCCTGAGCTTTTTATTTTTTGGATCATGTCAATACATGCCTTGGTTAATTTTTAAGAGCGAAATGAACTTGCCACCAACAATTTGCAATTTTTTCAATTATAATTTATTTTGGAAGTTTTTTTTTTCAATATGACAATACAGCTTTGGTGATTATTGTGAACTATATAGTGTGTCAATTTTAAAACTTCCCACCCTTAATATCTTTCTTGCAGTTAAAAATATGAAAAAATGGAAAGACACGTCAATTTTATTTGTAATGGGGACACTTTAAATTAATATTGTTAGCCTTTTTCTTTTAACCCCCTAGGAAGGGGAGATGTCACCCTTACAATCTTAAATGGGAATGGGGGTCAAGTGGCGCATCGTCTTAAAGGGTGTTTAATTACCTTTTCAGTGGTATCCTACTTTGTTGCTTTTTGTCGAGTGGTTTCCGAATAATCACGTTTCAAAGTTGCAGAAACAATTAAACATGCCTGCATTGAGATTTTGGTTTTCAGTCTAGTGTTTACACGAAAATTATTGCAATGGATCTCCTTATAGTACAAAAGATTAGAAGATTACATTATACCACTTACACCCTATATTATAAGTTGTTCAGAATGTTGTCCATTTTCCTGTTAACAATAATAAAGTGTGTTTTCAAACTCCTCCCTAACATTTCGGAAAACTTCAACGGGAATTGACCGGCATTCTGCTGTAATTCGCCTTTTAAGATCATCAATATCAGTAGGTTGTGTTCTATAAACAATGGATTTAAGATGTTCCCAAAGAAAGAAATCTAAGGGTGTTAAATCCGGTGATCTTGGAAGCCATTCAATTGGTCCCCTTCTGCCAATCCATGTACCCGGAAATGTCTCGTTTAACCACTGTCGGATTGGAAGAAAATAATGAGGTGGAGCCACCGTCCTGCTGGAATGTTAACAAATCCTCCTGTATAACTGATTAGAGGTTGCCACTCATTCGAATTTAAGAAAATAAACGTTAATGTTTATGATGTTTTCTGTTTATTAGTATTTCGACCCCCCTAGAAAAATATAATTGCTACGTCCATGTTTCCACCTAATCTTCTAATTACTTGTACTACAAGGAGCTCCATTGCAATATTTTTTATAAAAAAAAAATTATTTCAAACACTAGCCTGAAAACCATAATCTCAATGCAAGCATATTTAATTGTTTCTGCAACTTTGAAACGTGATTATTCGGAAACCACTCGACAAAAAGCAACAAAGTAGGATACCACTGAAAAGAGAATTAAATGTCCTTTAAAACAATGTGCGACTTGACCCCCATTCCCATTTAAAATTGTAAGGGTGACATCCACCCCTCCTAGGGGGTTAAAAGAAAAAGGCAAAAAATATTAATTTAAAGTGTCCCCCTTACAAATAAAATTGACGTGTCTTTCCGATTTTTCATATTTTTAACTGCAAGAAAGTTATTAAGGGTGGGAAGTTTTAAAATTGACACACTGTATACTACTATGAACTGCCCATCATGTTCGACGTTTGGGAAATGCTAGGCAGGAGGGTTAGAGGTGGCGAACCTGCTTCACCGAACCTGCTGAACCATTACCTGCTTCATTAAATGAACTTCGCTTGGTCCTTAAAGAAGAATGGGAAAACATAATAGCTCAGGGCCGATACATCGTTTTACATGGATGACCTTCAACAAATTAGAGACAAGCTGCAATTTTGCATGGAGCTTTATTTTGTGGATCTTTAAACATCCTGAAACCCCAGCGA